AAACAGTAACCTTAGGGGAAGATGACGAATCTAGAACAGGGTTCCGGTGCATGATCAGAATAACGCACCCTAAGGAAGACCCGAAACCCTAAACCCTAAACCGTGAATAGATCGCCCCAAGGAGCAGCACTGGTGACTATGAGGCTCCTACCAATCCTAAAGGCCTTGGAAAAACCCTCCCAACCCCAAACTCTGGACCCCAAAACCTGCTACACTGTTTAGTATCCAAACCTACACCCTAAACCCTAAACCCTAAACCGTTTTACAGATCTTTTAGAGGAACCTGAACCCTAAACCTGATCTGTCGATTTAGGGTTTAGGGTTTAGGGGTGATCCTTGGGTTTAGGGTTTAGGGATGATCCTCTACTCAAATATGAGGCCACCATTGATTCCCTGGCCCCCTGCCTTGCTCCTAAAGGAACCACCAAACTCTCCATCCGGTTTAGGGTTTAGGGTTTAGGGTTTAAGACGCCGAAGCCGCTGAGTTAGGAGCGTTGCGAAAGAGCCGCACAAATTCTACACCCCGAGCCCTAAACCCCAATCACCCTAAACCCAATTATTATTCGGTGTTCCTTCATATACTAACCCTAAACCCTAATAAACCCTAAACCCTAAATTTTAGGGTTTAGGGTTTATTAGGGTTTAGGGTTTTTAAATGTATATTTGAGGAGCCCATAGACTTAGGCACAACAGATGGCGACTTCCCCGCCCCTGCAAGCTCTCTGCCTTCTGCAGGGCCCTCGGGGATAGCGGGTGTTCGTCGTGACTTCGCCGGGCTCGCAAGAGGACCGAGAAACGCTGGTTTTTCAGGCTGGGAATTTACCCAGACACCTAACGGGAAACTCGTCCTGCCATGCAAAGCACTTGATTTTCGCATTGTTAGCCCTATCGCTATCACCAAGTCTTTCTTATCACTACTTCTGCGACTCATCACCTGACATGCCAGGTACTCTTGCTAGCAGTAAGGCACGCCAAAGAAGCAAACTTAATTTGCCTCGCATCTGGAGACGGGGCAGCCTATGTCGGCTGCAGCTGCAGAGACAGAACCACGGCAGCCAGATGTTCAGAAATATACTCAGTCTCCCTAAACGCTAAGCCCTAAAGCCTAAACCCTAAACTCCAGATGTTCAGAAATGTATCCAATCCCCAAGGGAAAACGTTACGGGTTAGGGCTTGAACAGGAGTATCCATCATGTGTAGACCCATGGATGGAAGCCCGTACATCAAAAAGATTAAAGAGCAGGCCCTATTATTTAGGCCCCTCAAAGAAACGGAGTTCCTTTTCTCAGGATAAGCCCTAGCAGCCCTAGCACGTGCTCTTTCAAGGGTTCGTTGAAGGTTGGATCGCTCGTGGCTGCAATAACTGCCGATAACCTACCGTTTGTGGGGATACGCTCGATACCAGTCAGCCTGAGGATCCTTTGCGGGGGGAGTAAGGCGGTACTGCTCGGCTAGATTCGATACTGCAGGGGTCTCAACTCAACTATTGGAAGGGTGTTTGGGGGATAAGTATATTCGCAGCCCTGAGGAATAGCATTGGTCTCAGCCGACCGAACGAAATCCAGCAACTGGCAATATCCCTGCTTCAAGAGTGCCTCGTTTGCACATGTTGAAAACTTAACTCGGAGTTGTTCCAAATGAGACTCACTGGACGTGGAAGCCATCAATGAGAATCAAGTGAACCAAGTATGGACTTTTATTTCACAGTCGTTCCTTTAAGGAACGGGTCCAAAAAAAAGTGCTCAAGTATGGTACTCCAAAACCCAGGACATTTGCCTACAAGGAACCCGGACAAACATGGAAGGGTTGGACCATGCACCTAAACCCTAAACCCCAAACCCTAAACCCTAACAGACCTAAGAAACGGAACAATCCCCTGCTTGAAATGGCCGACGCTCAGTGGTTGCGCGCACCTCAGGACGACCGAGACTTCGCTGGCAGTCCACACTTTAGGGTTTAGGGTTTAGGGTTTAGGATTTAGGTTTAGGGCTTGAGAATGGCGCCAGTTTAGGTATCAGGCTTAAACCCTACACCCTCAACTTACGGCGTTTAGGGCCTCTGCTGTATCTGGGGACCTAAAGCCCTGGACACCATTCGGTCGAGCCCATGTCAACCAGCAGCAGAAGTAACACAAATACCCCGTGTGTGTGTATGCTGTGTTTCTGTGCAGCAAAACAAACCAAGCTCTATTTCCCTAAGGGTCCATGATGGACCCTTGAGGTTTTAGGGACTCATGCATGTTGCTTCGTTTTCAACCCCTCATATTCCTTGCTACTGAGTTGTGCTACTGCTACTACGAAGACTACGACGACGACATGGAAGACGACAACGAGGACTAGGACGACTACTACTACCACTACTGCTGCATCCACCATACTGCCCTTGGTGCTGCTGCTGCTGCTGCTGTTGGGATGCCTTGACTCGCGGCCCTCTGCCAAGATTGGAATTCGTACTGCTGTTGTCACCAGAAATAGCTTTTACTGCTGCTGGTGCTGCTGCTCTTGCGCAGTGACCGTTTTGTTCCTTGCAACTGTCTGCGATGATGTTTGGCTACTACGATTCTGGCAGTGATGTTGGATCCTCATCGCAACAACCCCTTACAAATGGGGACTCCTGGATTGAACAACCCGTAAGCCGTCGTAAATCCTACCCCAATCCGTGATGCAGACCCCTAAACCCTGAACCCTAACCCCGAAACCCTAAACCCTAACCCCGACACCCTAACCCCGAAACCCTAAACCCCAACCCCGAAATCCTAAACCCAAACCCCTGAACCCCTAAACTGGAATCATACACCCCAAACCCTAAACCCTAAACCCTAAAACCAAAGCAGAAGCCTCCGACCAGGGGGCTGGTCTGCAGATGTTGAGCTGAGCCGGCGAAGCGATCAAGAAGCCTCAAACTTTAGGGATTGAGGGTGGGAGGGGGGGGATAGTGTGTGTGTGTATATATATATATATGTATGTATGTACATATGTATATCTGTATGTGTATATATATATATATATATCACATACATATATGTATGTAATATGCAGTCGTATGGATAGTAGAGTATTGTCGACCGAAGAAGAGGGGACCCAGGGGAACGAGGTCCTCCCCCTCTGCCACCTCAGCACAAATCCAGAGGCGCTCTCTCACCTTTGCTTGACGTCTACCCATAGGCCCCAAGGTAGTTCCTTTTTAGGGTTCATATTTAGAATCCTATTAGGTAATCCGAAAAAGGAACTACTGTGGGGCCTGTGGCTGGCATAGCATTTTCCCCACGATTCGCATAGGCTGCAGGTGGCTCAACTTGTTGTTGACAAGTGCCACAGCAAAAAAAGGAAACATGATTCCATCCACCTGCAAGTGCTGACGCTCAGCCCAATGTTTCTCTGGCATGGGCAGGACATGATTGGGATCGCGAAAGCAACAAGTGGAAAATCTTGGTGCTAGGTGCGGGCTCGGTTGCCACTTGTTCTCCAACCCTCAAATCAAAGTCCCTACCATACCTTGGAATGCTAACCCTCAGGGTCCATGTACCCAAATAGTATATACATTGCCCCCAAAGTACCTATATATGGACTACTTTAAGGCCAAAGTATGTACTGTTGGGGCACATGGGCCCTTAGGGTAAGAGCCGACACAGACCTCCTAAACCCGACCGCACGAAATACTGTCTGGTGCTTAGTAGGGAATGAGGGAATGGGTAATAAAGATTGCTATAAGGGACCTTAAGGGACTATCATAGCGATCCATTCCCCCATTCCCTAATAAGCACCAGGCAGAATATGCCACACCTGTGACATGATGGCCAGTCGATTTGGTCTGGCATGAAAAATGGGAGTTTCCGACAATTAGGGGTACCTTGTTTTGGGATCCTTATAATAAGGGTTTAGGGTTTAGGGTTTAGGGTACCTTGTTTTGGGATCCTTATAATAAGGATCCAACTACTTAGGGTACTAGGTTAGGGTCCCCTATTTTTGGAAACCCCCAAAAATGGTCAAAGTACATCAGAATGCTTTCCACCCGGGACGGCTGAAGCTGACCCCTTCGTTTCTTCACACAATGCTCTGCGATTCAAGTTCTTGGGTTTCGTGGTATATTATACTATGTAATTATAAAAAGGAGCCCCCAAGATAGTATAGGTAATCATTATCATTCTTATGCGCCGCTCATCGAACTGGTTTGGGAGCGCGACCGTTCAACCGTACCCCAAGTGATTGGTGCTTCACCGCCACGCAAAGTCAGGTTCATACAGGTCGAACAAGGATTCACTTGTTGGACCACTGTGACAACTCATAAAGAGAAAAGCGGGTCGAACAAGGATTCACTTGTTGGACCACTGTGACAACTCATAAAGAGAACGGCAGCCCTGTGACACACGCCTGCAGGAAGTAATGTAGGGGCCTTAATCATTAGACTAGGGCTTGGTGGTGTATTATACTATGAAAAGGAGGCCCCAAAATAGTATAGGTAATTATTAGTATAAGGCCCCTATAGTCCCTGCGGCTGAGCCAGAGCTTGGACAAGTGTCAGCTGGAATAGGGGAAAACAATGGAAACCTCACCGGAACAGCGCTCCACGCTCCGGCCGGATATGCGATAGTCTTCGTCGTCTAGACGTTTCACAGGGGAGGAGGCTGCAACGTGACTTGTGAGGCTGGCTATTGCCTTCCGCTGTATCACACTACGGTTGATGATATAAATCCTGCTTTTTACCCATCATAAGGAATACACCATAATTCCCAGAGCTTAGGGTCCTTAAGCTAGTGCAGGATTTCTATTATCAACAGTTTATATACATACATATATATATATATAGAGCACAAGATGATGTCAGGAAGCATGGCGTGCTGGCTTACCAGACTCCTCCCTCTATTGGTACCTGGCTTGCGAAGAGAAGTCTAGATCAGGTTTCACCACAAACTGCTTGAGCTGCTTGAACATCGACTGCTGCAGGTCCTAAACCCTAAACCCTAAGCCCAATACTTCGGTTTAGGGTTTAGGGTTTAGGGTTTAGGCTTGCCAATAATCTAGTGTGGACTGGCTGGTGTAAAACTCGAACTCATTCTCGCTCTCTTCTTGGGCATCCTCTGGCTTTGTTGGCCCGGCGGTGGCCAAGGATGACAGGGGAAATTTGGGCTTGAAGCAACCATGCCTTGGCTGACTTCCGAGCCCCTCCAAAAAGTTAAACTTTTAGTCTCCTTATTATAGTTAGATAGAAACCCAAAAAGTTAAAGTCCTAAGAACCAACCGGAAGAACACCAAGATGCGGCTCAGCCGGCTTCTCGGATCGATGCTCGAAGCTTCGCTGAAGATGTAACTGATGTTCCTGTTCAGTGAGCGTGTGCGACAGGACCTTGAGAGTCTGCGCCCACTCCGATTGCATGTCCATGATCATGGTCTGCAATGATTTCGTTGCGAGCAATGTCGCAACGGTATCGCTCTTGGTGATGTCGCCGCGAATCTTCAGCATGCCTTGGACCAACTCCTGAACATGGAGGGTGCCGCTCCCATCTGCATCAATGACTTCAAACAGGTTAGCACGGTCTGGCGGCAAATCGAGTTCATCCATGAGTATCTGCACGCCTCGGTCCTGTATGACAACCAGAAACATCTCTTTTGTAATCTGGATCTGGTCATGCACATCATCATCTGTGAATACCGCCTCGCTGCTTTCCGAAGTGAACGCAATCGCGGACATCATGTCCATTTCTCCAGGTCTAGCATGGGCATAGCAGAACTCGCGGTACGCAGTTGCAAACTTTTTGAGAAGCTCCCGAGCACATTTAGCTACACGAATTGACTCACGCGAGTACTGCTCTGCACTGCTGGCATCATTCTCCTTGGCCGCCCGCATAGTTATTTCTACATAAACTGCCAGGATGACATTGAAGATGCCCATGGTCACAAGCATATAGCTTGCAACATAAGGGAGGATGAAGGCAAGTCCAAATTTTGCCGCCAGCAAAGAAGTCAGAGGCATTCCTTGGTCACTGGTGCAATCGCCGGTGAAGCACCTGAAGGCCGTGAACATTGAGGCCGGACCCTAAACCCTAAACCCTAAACCCCCTAAACCCTAAAGCCTAAACCAATCGCCGGTGAAGCACCTGAAGGCTGTGAACATTGAGGCCGGAATGCCCTCAAAGTGATGCAGGAGCTCAACATCCGAAACAAGCTGATCGCAAAGCGCCATGGTTGCAAAGCCGGAGATTACGTACAGCACCTTGGCTGACTTCTGAACCTCCTAAAAGTTATACTTATTATTTGGTTTTAATAAGGGACCCCCAAAAGAAAAAGGGCAAAAGGGTACTACTGGGGAACCTAGTAAAGTCCTAAGAGCAAACCAGAAGAACGCCAAGGCACGGTGAAGAGTAACGTAAAGGCAAGAACCAGAGTTCGCAGTCCGGCAATCCACCCTTTGACCATGAGACGTAAATCCTGGGTTGGCCTTAAAAGCCCTCTCTGAAAAATGGTGATATAATAAAGGGTCCCGTATAAATTCAGATAAGGAAAATAAGAAATGTCCCAAACACCAGCCTAGAATCCTTCATCATTTTCAGCCGGAAGACTTTCACAATTCTTACGAGCCGAATAAGCTTGGTGAACCTCAATAAGCCGGTGCCAGCAATGTCTCTCGTTTGTTGCCCAACATACTGGAACACCAGGTCAGTTACTGAAGTGACAGCCAGGAAAACATCAAACCAGTTCCAATAGCGCTCTGATCCACACCAGTAAGTGCGACACCGAAGGACCAGAATGCGAAGCAAAATCTCCAGCACAAGGAGAATTGCGAATGCCGTCTCGATGTGAATCCATCCCTGCCAATGCTCATACATGGGGTCGGTCTGAAAGCCTATCCTTGGCTGACTTTGAACCCCTCCAACAACTTCAACTCTTCGTCTCCTTACTATACTTCATATAGAAGCAAAAAAAGTCCTAAGAGCTCACCAGAAGAACACCAAGTATCATGATGCCGTTCGCCAATATGAGGATGGCAACAAAAGGCTCAATGTACCTCTCAAGGCCCATTGGTTGGGGCTTTAGGAGGCCTATACTGCAAGGTATTTGGGCCCCAAAGCGATACTATACACGACACTAAACCCTATAAAACCCTAAACCCTCCTAAATTAGAGAGGGGACTGTTGTGTGGGATGTTTTTTTTGTGTTTTCCACCCTGATTTTTTTTTGTGCTTTCTACCCTTGCACTGCACATCTGTGCAGACACAC